TCATGGCTCTAGGTAGTTGGTACACATACTATGGCAGGTGTTTTTACTTAGTTTGTTGTTTTTACTTAATGTGTTGGCTACTCAAGTGCTTGCTGTGCAGCAGAGCCTCTTAAAGGAGCTGTATCCTTTTTTTGTCTTTTTCTTTCTGTTTTTTTTTTTAAACAACAACATATCTTTACCTAGTTAAACAAATGCAATGCATCTTTACATAGTTAAACAACTGTTCTATTCCACAATACTGTGGGGCTTAAGAAGGATGGGGTACCAATTCACCACAGGAGCATGTCTGACCTGGAGGGGCCCCACAAGAAGGAACAGTGTTTGCTCCGCCAGTGAAGGAAGGGCCAGTGAAGGGCTATTCCAGAACGTTCTGAGTTTGAGGTGGGAAGATGTGGGTGACCCCAGGGTAAGGAAGCCACTAGCAGCTCTGAGCCTGAGGTTAACCTAGCATGTGTTTCTAGATGGTGGTTGTCATGCTGTAGACCATGGGAGTTCATTCTCCTTCCCCTTTATGCTGTGGGCATCCGGGGACACCTACAGATGCCTGCGAAGGAAGATGTTTTTATTTGTTTTACATGTCTCTGTGTGCACATATGTGGGGGTACACATGTGTGTGAGTACCCATGTGTGGGGGTATGCATGCCTGGGTACTACAGAAGCCAGAGGACAACACTGGGCATTCCACTCTTACTCTCAAGCTGATCAGAGAGACAAGGTCTCTCTCTGAACCTGAGCTAGGTTGGCAGCTGTGAGCCGTAGAGATCCTCCTGTCTACAAACACCCCCTACCAGCACTGGGGTTACAAGTACAGGCAAGGCCATTTTTCACGTGGGCATTTGGGATTTGAACTCGGGTCCTCATGCTTGCATAGCAAGCACTCTTACGCACTAAGCTATCTCCCCAGCCCCCAAATAATGTTCTTAAGTATAAAAATAAAAAAAAATAGTGCTCAAAATGTGAAAGAAGACCATGACAGGCATGGCATAGAACAAGGCAAGCAGAGTAAGAGACCCTGTGATGAATGCTTCTGTTAACAGGATGAAGGT